CCCCCCCCCCCCCCCCCCTCCTCTTCCTCATTCGCAGGGGATGGTCTAGTGGTTACAGAGGAGAAGGATGGGGAAAATGATGGGAACTTTTCCACTTCCAGATTTGAGAACTTACACCTGGCGGACAGCACAGCGGTTCCTCAATCGTTGGGAGGCATGATCCGCCCTCAGGATCCCGGCCTATTCGATGTAGAACTAGAGTTAGAGAGAGGAAAGGCATCGTCAGGGTCCCACGGATCACAGATCTTACTTACACATATACGCCCAGACGGCATTCTTGGGATACATCTGGGGGAAGGAGTTGCGGCAGCAGAGGGGTTCGTAGTACTGGGAGCATTGGGGTTTCGATGGCTGTGGTATTGGGTGTAGTAGCAGCGTGGCGGTTGACAAGTGAGCAAGGAGGAGGTGGAGGAGGAGGAGGAGGTGGAGGAGAGGAGCAGTGAGAGCAGTGAGAGACAGCAGTGATGGGATCATCTTTTGGTTTTGGATTGAGAAGAGTTAGGATGGGAGTGATTGAAGCAATAGATCTGATCTCAACACTTGGCCTTTTCTGATGGCGTTTAAATATGTATCCGTCCCTCCGTTGTTTATTATTGTTTGCTGTGTCGTGTTTTTGCATCAAGGCATTCATTTCAAGGAATTGATGTTTGAGTATTTAAACAAGCTACAACAATCAAACAAAGAACAGCTTGCTGGCCCGCAACAACCAAGAGATCTGGAATATAATAGATGACCACAATACAAAGCCCAAATCAGGATCCCGCGGAGGCATATTGGAGTACGTACGGAGGACAGACAGATCATTTCAACACGAGCATAGCCAGGGATCGGCTCGTTTTCCCTGCAGCAGCAGAGATTCTTTAAATTGCGAGCTGTAAATAACTAATAAATAACTACTTCCCGCGCTCCCTGTCTCTTCCCCCGTTTCCGCGGTCGGTCGGATTAAATAACTACTCCGCAAGGTAACGTAACTATCTCGGCCAGCCACACTCTGAAGCTCTGTTCACAACACAATTGCTTCCTGGATATGGCCACGAGTCGCTGGAATACCCCAATGGACTGACTCGCTTTATTCCGAAGTACTGTACATGTACTTGTACATTAGTATTACATAGTATGTACGTCGTACCTGTACCTCAATTTAATCAAGCATGAAGGAAAAGCAACGAGAAAGAAAGAAAGAGGGAAAAACAGAAGCTATGAAACATTTGTACGGCAGCCTATAGTGACATTTGAGTCAAATGGCTTTTGTCATGTTTTTCTGCTGTAAATTGTAATTACTTAATTCCACTTATAGACAGGCACTCATCAATAGAAATTTATATGAAAGTTTGTCTGTCTGCAAGCATTGTGCAGGTCTTCTACCACTCACCTACCACCATCACCACCAGAAAAGTATAAGTAGAGAATATATGAAAAAAACAGAATGAAAAAAAGAATGAAGATTTGAAGATTGATCTGAGTTATACAGACTGAAGAGCAGAGCTGAGTATTTAAATATATTTAATGAGATGTATATAATGTCATATTACATTATTACAGTGTTTTTTTGCATGAAAAAGTTGATTTTTCTATAATAAAAGAGAAGCTCTGTTTGATTATAAATTGAATGAATATGATTGGTGTGTGTGTGTGTGTGTGTGTGTGTGTGTGTGTACATGGTAACACTTAGTATAAAAAACATCAAAAATACCAATTTGACCCAAATGTCACTATAGGCTGCCGTAATTAGATTCTAGACTTTGTTCTATCCGTCATCTCCCTCCCCAGCTTGAAGTGCTGCTAGCGTTAGGTAAAATTGGCCCAGTAGTTAAATATTTTAACTGGAATAATACATTCTGTTCCATAGAGCCCACAACTACCGAATAACAATTTTGTCCTTGACCATGTTCGGGCCAGATTCATCTGAGGTTGAGACACGCAATTCCCGATTCTGATGATCCTTCTTCCCCCGCCCACCCGCGGTTCCACCGGCGGACAGCTCAGTAAATGTACGTACAGGACATACATACATAGACCCCTCCCTCAGAGGCGGTTGTGTCTACAACGCACACAAGCCCGCAGCCGACATTGTTGACATTGCAGAATGAAATTCGGCAGCTGGAACATGCATTCCTCACACCGATGGCGTCCATCTATACGTTGCCAGCGGCCGAGGTGGAAGCAGTCATGACGTTCCCGAATCACCGCGACTGCCCGATTCACGTCCGCAGGTCTCACTGGCCCATCTCCTGGTCTCTGTTCGCGGAGAGCAATCTGCTGACCCCGTTCTAGGAGCCGGTCATCATCCCATTGCTCGCACTTGCAGTTCTTCCACTCTGCTCCGCAAAGGTAGCAGAACTCCGCACGGCATCGGCAGCTGGATGGATGGATGGATGATGCATGTTACGTTAGTGGTGGATGTTGCGAGGCTCTACGCTACGGGGTGTAGGTTAGACTTGGGGTAGAAACATACGTGATATGATAGCAACCAGTTCTGAGTTCAACCACACTGCGGCATCTAAAGCACTGCTGCCATTTCTCTGTCTGGATTAAATCTAGAAGAGCGTCCTCGGATTTTTCATCGGCACACGGCCCAGAATGCGCGGTCTTTTTACAAAGCACGCAGGTAGTATGCTGGCAGGCCCTGCAGGTCGCAACGTTGAGTTCAAAAGTTTTCGCAGGCAGGTATATCGAGCAAACGGGATTAGAGCAATACGTGCGGTTGGCATCGTTGTGTTCGACCAATTTCTCCTCAAAACGCTCTGCCAATTGCTTCCCCAGGAATCCGCAGGCTTGGGACAGAGAAATGGGTTCACGACAGCAACGGGGCGGGAACAGCGATTCGTCGGAAAAGGATTGCTCGAACAGGGTTCTGACGCATTTCCGACAATAGTAGTGGGAGCAGGAGGTTTCGATGATGTCGAAGAAGACCTTGGACTCCATGCACGACGTACAATCGAATCGAGCTATTTCAAATTGAGCTCCATCGACCGCTCGCTGCGAATTATCAGCCCGTGACGTAGTTTTGACCTCGAAAGCTTCGCTTTTGGATTCTTCTTGAAAGCCCTCCTTATCATCATCGCCATCGTCGCGAGACCCATCGATATTGAACTGGGAAAACCTTTGGAGCGTTTTCTCGTCCAACTCCCGCCTGCCTCGCCTCTGTAGCCTGGGCACGTGCTGCCCATCGACTCCTCCCCCCAGGTTGAGCGCCATTCGTCTATCATTTATAGCCGTGTCCTCTTCCTGCGCAATGGCAACGATCGCACGCTCATCCTGCTCCACAGCTCTGCCCATGCTCTTTGCCATTTGACGATCGCTAAGGAACACTAGGCCTTCTGTAAGCTCCCCCTGCCATAGCTGGAGCGCTAGTTCTGCGTCGTTTGCCGCGCCTTCAACTTGCTTGCCCTTGCGGTTTTCAAAGGCTTCCGCAACGTCTTGTCGAAGTAATTCCACTGTAAGGGCAAGGGATTGATCATCCATCGTGGGGGGGGCCGTATGGAAGGTGACCGGATGGATGGTGACCGGATGGACAGTTGAATGAATGGGAAGAGAAGTAAGTGTTCCTGTGGGTATATTAAGAGGAAAGTTTAGAACGTGGATATGGCTAGAAAAGCCTGCTATCTAGCGACTCGCGAGAATTAAATTATTAGATTTATTTCCCCTTCATTGTCCTGGCTGGTGTGTTTTTCTGTTGCGTTGTGTTGTGTTATTTGCATTCTCCAGATGCAAATTGAGGCCTCCAAGTATGCACAATCGCCAACGAGCACTCCCCCATTGCATGCAATCCACCTGCAGCGTTTGATATTTACGTGTACTGGGACGAGATGCATCAGCCAATTGTATGTACATACAGTACATACATATACATACATATACAATACCCCTGCACAGTCCCGACTTCTGTTTCCTGGTTAGCTGAGTAGACATGGCGCAGGCAGGGAGAACAAACGGAAAACATAGTTACCACTTATTAATAAATTGCTGCTCGTTTCCTTTTTCCTCCTTGCACCATCCGGCCGTCCAGGGCTCTGGAGCATCTTTCCCAAGACACACCATAACATACCACAGCGTGAGGAGACGAGATACGTGATGAGGGGAACATCCGCACTCGGTGAAACGAACTGGATTAGCCAAGACCTGGCTGCCTCGCGGGATCATTTTTGGTGAAATTCTAGTTATCTTGCGAGAGACGGGAGGAGAAAGGAGAATTTATAGCAGTTAGGTCCAGATTAGTTGAACCACACTGACAGTGGCTACGCTTACCTATTAGTACTCATTTTTGTAAAGGGAAGATAAGACACAGTTATTTACCCCTTGAGATGTAGAATTGATACTCGATTAAATAGGATAAACCAATCATCTAAATAAAAACTTTTTTTGGCTTCTTATGTCCTATTTTGCAAAGGACGAAAATCTCAAAATTCTAACAACTTCAATCAGTTGAATGGACTGTTCATTTATTTTATTTTATGAATAAATACGCAGGGCAGGTATGTAACATTTACGTATATATATATATATATATATATATAGACAAAAGGAAAATCGAGGAAAAAAAGGAAAAGGAACAGAAAGGAAAAAGAGCTGATGCAAGAAATATCAAACTGAGAAAGAAAAATAAATAAAAAATAAATATATATATATTAATGAGAAAATAACAAGGTTTAAAGGTGGGTGAAAGTGGAATAACAAAAGGAACCGTTTGAAACTATGAAAATGAAAAAAAAAACCAAAAGAAAACTTTGGAATCATTAACATGCGCACCAAGGGAAAAAAAGGAAAAAAAAAAGACAATAAGAAGAAGGATGGGGTAAGATTTGGGATACAGGGTGTGTTGCCCCCAGCACCATTCTATGTAGGGCTGAGGGGGAGAAGGAAGGATGGCTTTTTGCAGCTACCTCTGCCTCATCTTCATTCTTCATTCTTCATTCTTCATTCGTTGTTATTTTATTTGCTCCGTTCTCTTTTGTCCTATTCTTTTCCCGATATACACGGACGGAACACGTAGAGTTGGCTTGTATTTATTTCCCTCTTCCTTAAGGAGGAAAGGAAGCTTAAGCTAGGAAGTGCAACCCTTTTCATAGCAACAACAAGAAAGAAAACCGGACTTCCGCGAAGTGTACTTTTCTTTTCTGTTTTTTATATTTTTCTGGTTTTTGTCCTGGATCCTGCTCCTACTGGAACACTTTCCGCAACTTCTGCTTAAACAACACTCTCCTTGATTGTTTCCGTTCTAGTCAAGCCGTATTCTCCCTTGTAGTCGAGGGCTCGGCGCCATTTACCTCAACGGCAGCCTTGGCAGGCGATGGCACAACAGGCGCAGCGGCGATAACCTCCTTGGTAGCCTCATCCGAGTACTTCTTGAAGTTCTCATTGAACAGCACAGCGAGCTTGGTCACTTCACTCTCGAAGGAGGTCGAGGCGGTCCAGCTCTTCTTGGGGTTGAGGAGCTCGCTCGGCACGCCTGGGCAGGACTTGGGCACGTAGAGGTTGAAGACGTCATAGACTTCGTACTCTGCCTTGGCCAGCTCGCCGCTGTGGATGGCATCGAGGATGGCGCGGGTGTATTTTAGCGGGCAGCGCTTGCCGCCAGTGGTGGCGCCGGCGCCTACCCAGCCGGTGTTCAGGAGCCAGGCGTTGGCTTTGTGTTGGGAGATCTTATCGGCGAGCATGCGAGCGTAGCGCATGGGGTGGAGGGCAAGGAAGGGCTGGGCGAAGCAGGAGGAGAACGTGGCTTGAGGCTCCGTGACCCCGTCTTCAGTGCCGGCCATTTTGGAGGTGTAGCCGGAGATGAAGTGGAACATGGTTTGTTCAGTGTTCAGTTTGGAGATGGGTGGGAGAACACCGCGGGCGTCGCAAGTAAGGAGGATGATGTTCTTGGGGTGTTCTTCGGCGATACAGGGGATTTTGGCGTTTTCGATGTATTCTATTGGGTAAGCACTACAAATTCTGTGTTAGAAACCTGAAGGAGCAAACGGTAAGCCTTTTTTTATAAAGTCCGAACATACCATCTGGTGTTCTCAGTGAGGGTGGAATCATCATAGTCAACAACCCGGGTTACGGGGTCGAAGACGACGTTCTCCAGCACAGATCCGAAGCGGATTGCGTTGAAAATATCTGGCTCCTTCTCTGCGGACAAGCCAATGCACTTGGCGTAGCACTGTAACGAAAAAGGAAAAAAAAAAAAAAAAATTAGATAAGATAATCACAATATCACAGGTGTAAGAGGGTAACGTACTCCTCCTTCAATGTTGAAGACACCGCGGTCACTCCAGCAGTGCTCGTCATCACCAATCAGAGCGCGCTTAGGATCAGCAGATAGGGTAGTCTTGCCAGTTCCAGACAAGCCGAAGAAAACAGTGACATCACCATCCTCGCCCTGGTTGGCGGACGAGTGCAGGGTGAGCACGTTGTGCTTGACGGGCATCTCGTAGAAGAGCACGGTGAAGACACCCTTCTTCATCTCGCCGGCATACTCAGTACCAAGGATGACCATCTCCTTTTCGGCAAAGTTAATGGCTACGGAGGTGGCGGAGGTCATGCCCTCAGTCCATCTGTTTGCGGGGAAAGAACCGGCGTTGTAGATGACGTAGTCTGGGTGGAAGGACTTGAGCTCCTCGCGCGAGGGCCGGATAAGCATGTTGCGCATGAAGAGGGCATGGTAGGCACGGGCGCAGACGACTCTGACGCTGATTCTGTAGCGCTCGTCCCAGCCGGCATAGCCATCGATGACATAGATGCGGTTTCTGGTGTTGAGATAATCGACAGCACGTTCTCTGTTAATTCTCCAGACCTGGATGTTTTTATTACTGTCAGGAAGATATTCATAGCAATTTTATGCAGTGGTGCTTCAAATTGACCAATCGGAAAAGGAAGAAAACAAGAGGGAATATTGACGTCATAGAGACACGTGACCACGCCCCACCCGGATCGACAAGGGCAAAAACGGCGAACGCCAAAGTGCGGGGAAACAGTGCTAGCCAAGAGACAAGCGGCTGAAGAAGGGAATTACATAACAACAACAGAGCAGAAGCAACAGCCAGGCGAGTGGAGTTGACGCCGTGGTTGTTGCAAGGGTTATCATGCAGGGCCGAGGGATCGGTTTTCCTGGGCAAAAACGAACCACCCGAAAACGAAAACCGCCATTAAAAGAAAAAACAAAAAAGAAAAGAAAAAAAAAAAAAAAACAAAAATTAATTTAAAATTAAGGAGTGCCTACCTCTGGCGACATAGGCTTGTTGACAGGACCCCACCAGATATCCTTCTCAGATGAGGGTTCTTTTACAACTCTCTTGTCGAGGGGTGATCTGCCGGTCTTTGCGCCGGAGTAGGCAGTCAAGGCACCGCTGGAGGTGATGGCGGTGCCGGTTTCGTAGACCAGAGCATCTTCGTAGAGAGAGGCGACGGCAGGGTTGGCAATCTATTGTTATCAGTTAAGAATATAGAAACAAGTGATAGGGTGAGTGATAGAAGATGAAGGGGGGTTTTTTTCTCTTACAATTGAGACGCGCTCATAGTCGATGTGGGCGGTTTCGTGGAGTTCCTCCTCGAGTTCTGTGTGTCCTACACCAGGCCTTGGAGACATAATCGATCGGTTAGTTACTGTCTTGTACAAATTTTCATCTTTATACAGCTCAAATTAAGGTAAAAACAAAAAAGGAATTAAACATACTGAACACCACTGGGATGCAGCGCAGTGCGGTTTACCGAAGCGGCAACCATGTTTTTAAGAGAGGTGGACAGGGAGGTGGAGTGGTAGTTGGAATGCTGTTGCTTCGCCTGTAGCTGCCTGGCAAAGTCGGAGAAGTCGGAGAAGGGAGCGAGATTGGGAGGGACGGAGGTAGTAGTAGTAGTAGTAGTAGTAGCAGAAGAAAAGGGTTGGATAAGGGGGCGAGAAGCTGGAGCTGAAGTTGAAGAAGTTGAAGATGATGGTAGAGTGGGAGCCGACGAAGGGGGGGCATCCGGGGGTATATGAATGGCAGCACGAGTAGCCGTGGATAGGGGAGTAGAGCCAGTAGCGTCTGCGCCCGAAGCGGAACCGGAAGCCATGCGGGCGGCGAAGAACGGGAAAGCAAACGTAAATCGGCGAAAACACGCAGTGGTAATATTAATGCTACGAGGTTTATTTGACGACGGTGCCCGTGGGTCCGGGATGGGCGAGAGGGTCTTAGCACTGTTATTACTACGCGTAGCAGTCGGGTAGCAGGAGTAGTAGTAGTTGTAGTAGTACGCAGCGTAGTAGTAGCAGCAAGAGGAGTAACAGGAGTAATTATAGCGACCACTAGCGGGACTGTTCAGGGTTAGGAGCTGGCGATTGTTATTATTATTGGCAGACGACAGCGGAACTGGGCAGCGGAGGCCGGTAGAAACAGAAAGAGAAAGACGAGAGACATAGCAGCAGCAGCAGCACCCGCTGCGTAGAGTGTGGCGCATAGCAGACCGACCAAGCAGCAGCACAATCCAACAATCTTCTCGATGGCAAACTCTTTTTTTTTTTTTTTGTTCTTGGTTGGAGTCGTTGTTGTGTCCTGTTCTTGCCTGAGCTCCACCACGCCCGGGAAATACCGGGTGGGTGAGTCCCCGCGAGGAGGTTGTAGTAGAATAATACAATAAGTTACAATCATAATACAAGAGTACTCCGTAGTTACAGAGTGAGTTATAACTATATAGTCAGTAACGTTCACCTTTAACTTACGAGTGTTACATGTATTACTATTGTATGTAAATGTACATGTACATGTACTTGTACATGGACTCAGCTCTCTCTCCCCCTTTGCTCCGTGCGCCAGAAAGCCAAAAAAGAGAGCCAGCAACCCGGAACCGGGCCCAAATGAAATCCCCGTGCACGGCGGCTGAATGGTCCCGAGTTCTCCCGATGCGATGGCCTGGGCATAACAATACGCCGTGGAATGACGACATGGAACTGAACCGAGTACGGAGTACAGTACATCCATAGATCCTTCCTATGTTAAGGGGGGTAGGTTCTCTTGTTCGTGTGCTGCCGTCTGGACTGGTAACAAAGCAATAATAGTTGATATTAATAATAATGTAGAAGAATGTGCCCCTCAATCCAGATATCTCCCAAGAAGATTACATCTTCCTTGTCCTTGGGGAGGAGGGAGGGAAGGGGGGGAGGCGTGGCAGTGTTCAAAATCCCCCTATCCTGGTGATTCCCTGTTCGCTATTATTTAATATTATTCCTCATCGATTCCGACGGTCGCTAGGTACATGTTTTGTATACATGTACATGTATACTTATTACTCTATAAGCCGCTTCTAAGCATCTGTATCAATGTCTCTTGGTTACTTACAACCACCAGCTATATCCGAACATTGAAGATCAGACTCCCTATTAAATAAATACCGCATTTCTTTGTAAATTCTATGGTAATCTGTTTCCATCAGTAGTACTACAGTCTCATCCTTGTCTCAGCCAGGAACTTTTTCGTTTTCTTTTCCTTACTTTTTCTTCTTTTCCCCATGCTCTATATCACATGGGGATTTGTTCGTTTCCACTCACTCTCCGCGCGGCAATCCGCGGCCCACTGAAGGTTTTGCGCCACAGCCTTGCTTGGCCCTCGGGAGACTTTGAAGGGGGGAAGGGAAGGCTATAAGAGAAAGGGGCCCTACGATATTCGCCACATCAGAACAATTCGTTGCATTTCTAGGTTTCAAACTTGCCTGATATCCATTAAAAAATGGACGCATATATACTTTACTTGGTCTTTACCTGGTTTTATTCGGAGTGTCATAGTAATTCCAAGGTTGCTGGCCAACAACAGTAGTTTAGAAATGTTATTGTTTGACAAGAATCTTCGGGAGAGCTTTTGGCGTCTTTCTTTCAGGCATTTCATCAGCCAGAGCATTCCTATTCTCTTGTTGTTCTCGGTTACAACTAATAACTAACTTAACGAAACAAAATGTAACTACTCTGTAGCTATAAGCTATGAATAGTTCTGGCTTTTCATCATGTCACGTTACCCGGCGAGTTTTCCAAGGTTCCATGTTTTCTTTTTTCGTTCTCCCGCCCTTCTTTTTTTTTTATTTTATTCCCCGGGTTTTCCCCGGGTTTTCCACTGTCTGGCCTCCCGCCCAGCCTCTAGCGGCTTCAAGGTGTTCAGCCGGCTTGAGTTATTTATTTATTATTTAGCCCAGTTCAGTCTGATCCAAAACCCAGCCAGCCCAAGGCCAGTCCAGTCCAGCCCGCTGAGCAAGCCCAGTAGTTAGTCAAGTCAGTCAGTCACCTGCAACGTCGCAGTCCAGTCATCAATTGACAATCCCAATCCCCATTAACAATGATCGATCGATCGTCTTCAAATTCTTTTTCAGCCAAGGATATCCCCCCAGCCGTTGGTTCCCGTATTCTGTCCCGAGCTTGGGGGTGAGTGGCGGCCTTCTTCTTCTTCTTCTTCTTTGCGAAAACAGAAATGAAAACAGAAATGAAAACAGAAGTAGCTAAGTAGCGAGGTGCTGTGATGTCAGCAGTCGAAAGAGTGGATAAGTGGGGGGATGGGATGGGTGATATGTCACGTCACCAGTCATTGTTGAAGTGTCTCTCCGGAAAATATTGCCCTTTACGTATTATGACTCAGTTTTTTGTTTTTGTTTTTCTTTTTCTTCTACTGATTTTGATTTAATTTGATGTTGATTTTAATTTTCCTCCCTCGTAAATTGGGATAGTTTTGGAATGATGATCATTGATCAGGAGAGCTGACACCCAACCCCCTCTTCGCGCTGGTGTGCATATCCAACGCCATAGAAATGGGTGATAGGTCGGAAAGGGACCATATCGAAATATTTACTGAATATGCCAATTTACCCTTTATTGAAATGGCTTGATTGTGTTCTTTAAAAAATAAAATAAAATAAAATAAATAGCAACAAATATATTTATATATGTATACGTATGTATCCGGCACGTATATATATTTCCATTTGACCATTGATCAATATGCTCTTCACCTTCAATAAAAGGCACCCACAGGTCTCCCATCCGGGCCATCCCCCCATCTTCCCCCCGCTTTGAGGGTGCCTTGCGGAAGCAGGCCCATATAAAGCCCGTGGAAGCCACTGCCGTGGCACACCAGCGATACCAGCGACGGCGATGCGCCACAGGGAGTTTTCGCCTGACGTTCATGGCAGCTTGTTGCCATCATTATCGTGCGAACTATCAACACAAACAACATCGCGGGAAATGTTCGCGAAAGCAAAGGATAGATATCACTGACCAAGAACGGACCATGTGGTTCGTCGGCTGTATAAAGGCGCATTTTCAAGGGAATGACATGAAAGCTCTTTCTTGCGATGATTAGGATGACGACGGTTGCAACAGACAAGATATGGTAGTCTTGGGGTGGACAGCAACCTTACCTGAGACGAATGGGAACCTTTTTTTCTGTCCTTTTTTTTCTGTCTTGCTTTCCATTGTAGGCGATCTATCCTGCGCTGCCTGAGCTTCGTTGCAATGCAACGATAAAAATGTGCTACAAGCTTCCCCAGCGATGCCGTTGACTGCTGACTGTTGAACATTTCAATGACGGCCATCTTTTACCGCAGGGTGGGTGGCATCGCGAGGAAAACGAGCAGTCTAATTGACCAATTCACGAGTCAATTCACTGTTGCTGGCATGACCCATTGATTCATTTCGTAGGCACATCACAGCTGGTCTTATTTCTGTTATGAAGACAGGTCAGTGGTTGTTGCTCTATGGTGAATCAAAGAAACTCGATGACAGCAGCTGGTCTGAGGAGCATACTGCTCCCTGGCAGACTCAGGTTCTCGGTTTTGGGACTTTGCTCTCCCTTTTTGAGATGGCGCTGACCTGAAGTTCTCTCGCAACATTCTGCCATTCCGCCTCGCATTTTTCGCTTGGCACATACCTAATGCATGTGAGGCGCATCCATCCATTTCTGCATGTTTGTTTCAACGAACGCAAGTAACCATGTTCGTAAGAGCCCCTTTGATGCAGCTCGCGGTTCATTCAACTCCGCAGCAATCAATTGGAAATTGGGAATTGCTTGTCTTCTCAATCCCCATGAAAGATATCAAGCTAGGCCCTAGGTTCCCGCAAGGTCCTGAAACTCGTCGAGGCTGTTACTAGAATTCTCTTTGGCGGAAGTCCCAGGATCCTGTCGAAGAATAGCAATTTATATAAACTATTGAAGAAACGGATGTTCAAGACTGTGGTAGACAACGGATATTGGGAACACCGTTCATTTGGCAGCGTGGAACATGAAGTAGGTCAGCTCTATGGGCCTAAGCCTTGGGTAGTGTGGGAAAACCCGAGTCGGCATGTTGAGCTCTAATAATTGGCTACGTAAGTTAATCAAACATTAGTATCATGATATAAGATGATAGAAGGGACTAGCGGGCAAGTTATGATTGACAATATTGTTTCATCTAAAGTAAACGTCAAAAACAGAGCACGGTCGATATGCTGGGCCCAGCTGAGTCCCAATAGGTAACCGTCTGATTGTAATATCCTAGGACTATTAGAAGTTCAAGATCCTTTGAAAGGTAGTGAGCGAGGTTTAGATGGGAGGAGGTTGATCAACCTCCTCCCGTTAACTAGCCGGCTGACAACGCTAGGCCTATTCCAGGCCAGCCATATCGGAGCCGGAACATCAGAAACTCCAGCTCACCCAGCAACCATCGCGACTGACAACATACTTGGATATCAACATCCACCCTCTCTATAACTATAGATCTTTCGCACCGACATCCTTCTTTTACTATTTTCTCACCTCCCCCGTTCTCTCTCCTCTTCCATTTCACCAGCAGCCATGGGTTCCGATCCACAATACGCCAAATACCCCAACCTCTCCCTCGCCCAAGACATCTTTAACCTCTCCAACCCGGCATGTTCCCAAACACACCAACAGGCCTCGCTGAAGAGGCTGCAATCTGCCATTTCACAACATCATATGGCCCCTCTATACCGGCATCTGGCCCACCCAGTCGACGGCATCCTGAACACTACGGGCGAAGGCACCACCTCCCAGCACACAATCCCCGCAGGCAGTAAAGGCGGCGTAGTCGCGTCGAATCTCCTGTCTGGCAGGAAAGTGTCGCAGAATCTTACCCTGCCGTGGGACGAGAAGCTGTACGATTCGTTGGTAGATGAGAATAAGAAGGAGCTGGATGCTTTGCAAAAGGAGGAAGACGATGCTGCTGAGGCTGCGGGTGATACTGAGGTTCAAGCTGCTCGAGGCAAACGAGCGGAGTTCTGGGCCCGGGTTGGCGATAGGGTAAGATTTTATTTATTTTCCTTCTCTTCAGGTTTTATTGTTCATTTCCATTTTAATTTTTGTTCTAACAGTAATCTTCAACGCATATAGGACAAGGCAGTTGCTGCTTACGAAGCAGTGTTAGAGAAAACCGGAATTCTAGGCACGAAGATCGACTTGATTCTGGCAATTATTCGGATCGGACTGTTTTTTGGTGATAAGGCGTTTGTCAAAAAGCAGGTGGAGAGAGCAAGTGCGTTGGTCGAGAGTGGCGGGGACTGGGATCGAAGAAATCGCCTAAAGGCCTACAAGGGACTTCACCTCCTTACAGTCCGCTCTTATAACCTGGCCGCACCTCTTCTTCTCGACAGCTTGTCCACATTCACCAGCTACGAATTATGCAGCTACTCGTCCCTTGTTGTCTACTCTGTCCTCGCTGGCTCCCTTGCCTTGAAGCGCCTCGACTTTAAAGCAAAAGTCGTCGATGCGCCTGAAATCAAGGCCATTCTCGGTGAAGGAGAAGACAGGCTATCCGCCTTGAGTGGCGCCATTTCGTCAGGACCTGGAGCTGGAGATGAAGAAATGAAGGATGCTGCTACGACCACAACCCCAGGTGTCGCATCAACCGTTGTAAATCTTACCACCCTGGGCGCTGAAAGTGGATTTGCCCCGGAAGAAGAGGCACCAATGGACTTCTCTCCGCTCTCCAACCTCGTCAGCAGTTTGTACAATGGCATTTATCGTTCGTTCTTCCTGGCACTGGCGGCCGTTGAGGATAATTTTCTGAGCCAGGACCGTTATCTCTATGAGCACCGCGCGTGGTTTGTGCGCGAGATGCGGTTACGCGGATATCAGCAACTACTGCAGAGTTATCGTGTTGTCGGACTTAGTAGCATGGCCAACGATTTTGGCGTCACTGTTGATTTCCTTGATAGGTACGTATCGATCGTCTCTCCTTCCCCCGCTCATTTAACAATAATAACTCGAGGAGCTTGGGTGTGTGTGTGTGTGTGTGTCTACAAGGCTAACCATCGTTCGTTTCAAACAGGGATCTTGCCAAATTCATCGCCGGCGACCGGATAGCATGCACGATCGACCGTGTCAACAACATCATTGAGACCAACCGGCCCGACGACAAGAATAAGCAGTATGCCGATGTAGTGAAGCAAGGAGATGCATTGATTACAAAGCTGCAGAAATACGGGCAGGCGGTGAGGATGCGGGGGAGCGAACGGGGTTGATATGCTGGGCTAGGAATAGTAGGGTATGGATGGGTTTTGATGTATGATGAATGGTAGGTAGGGATTGGCGGGAATACCGTAGACGGATGGATGAGATAGATGATTTTTAATTTCCAATTAAACTCATATAGCATAGATTTTCTTGCGTTGCAGGGGTCGTTTCTATCGATGCAGTTACTGATTTATGAAATGTGAAGGAGCGCTATTCGATGGCTGTTATCGTCGAAACGGTAAGTACAGGATGTTCTTTTTAACTCGACGATGATATGATATGCGAAAATTACATCGAGATGTCAATGGTAGTTTGTACCTGCTTCGATCCCGTCAACTTTTTTTTATTCGTTCTTCCTTTCCTCTGCGGCCCAATGGTGGTGCTGTGACAAATCGACTTGTCTAGATGATACCCGGGACCAGTGTCTTTTCAACACCGGAAGCTATAGGGAGTATGATGCATTGTTACGTTGGCAGAGGAATGAGCGGTGTACTTGGTGATATTCCACCCAAACTCTTCTGCCGGACATCGGTGATATGACTGGTGCCTGGGTGACTCACCGCCTAGCGGGTATTGGATTCTGCCAACATCACATGATTATGACACGTGATCTACCGCCGTTAAGAAGGCTCCTGTCACCCAAAAAAAACCCAGGCTGGCACATTTAAATATCCGCGTTTGGGATCAGGGACACAAGGCACCATGGCGTGTCGGCGCATATCTATTACGTCCTCGCTCTCATCCTCTTCGATGCCCCTTCATCCCTCTTCTCCCATCGGTGGCCTCCGTGTTGTGCGATATCGCGCTACAATTTCCCGGCCGAGATCCCGGCTGCTCGGCTTTCTGTCAGGTATGGGAACTTTTTTTCTGTCTGCCCATATCTGTCCCCGATATGCCCATTCCGAGAGTATACGCCCCGCAACCCCTCCCTGCACTCCACCACCACCTGCTATTAATTGTGGGAATATGAGAAAGAAGAGAAAAAAGAAAGAAAAAACATCAATGGAAGCGAGAGTGCTATTGGTTCAACTTCCATCTACGGGTTGATCCGATCCTGGTCTTGCTTCCCTGTCTAGTTGCATCCTACAATCCCGATACACTTGGCGGAACCTTGGCTCATCATCTCTTTCATGTCTCGTTGATATTCCAGACTCTCCCCGCTCCTCCACATACTGTCCTCCGCCATCTCTGTCACCATCAACATCTCTCTCCCTCTCACGTCGCAATATGGGCTCGATAGCAAAACTAGACCCGAAAGGTCGCCTCAATGGCAGCAACATTAACCCAAACGTGTTGGCGGCCAAATATGCCGTCCGCGGGGAACTGGCCGTCAAGGCTGAGGAATACCGGGTAAGATTGGCAAATGCCGCTGCCAACGTGGGTGTTGATGATGCACTTCCATTCGACAAGGTCATCTTCGCCAATATCGGAAACCCGCAACAGCTGGACCAGAAACCCATCACGTTCTTCCGCCAAGTCCTCAGCATACTTGAATACCCCGCCTTACTGGACAACGAGGAAGCGTTGAAAACTTCCTTTGGCTATAAACAGGATGTGATTGATAGGGCGAAGAAGCTTCTGAAAGACGTCCACAGCGTAGGCGCTTACAGCCAGAGCCATGGCTCGCCCGCTGTGCGTGAAAGCGTTGCCAAATTTATCGAGCGCCGTGATGGCTTCCCCACGGACCCCGCCCGGATCTATCTCTCTGCTGGTGCATCATCTGGAGTTAACACTTTGCTCCATGTCCTTTGCGCCGGGCCCAAAACAGGCGTCCTCGTTCCCATCCCCCAATACCCGCTCTACACTGCTACCTTGTCAGTATTGAACGCCCAGTGTGTGCCGTACTACCTTGACGAGAGCGACTCGTGGGGCACCAACGTCGACGGTATCCGCGCAGCGCTTGCAAAGGCCCGTGAAGATGGCATCGACGTTCGTGCAATCGTGGTCATCAACCCCGGAAACCCCACGGGCGCTAGTCTAAAACCCGATGCAATCAAGAGCGTTATCGATATCGCGGTCGAAGCCAATCTCGTCATCCTCGCAGATGAAGTGTACCAAACAAACGTCTTCAAGGGGGAGTTCACGTCGTTCAAAAAGCGTCTTCGGCAATTGCAACAAGGTGCGCCTGGCGAATATGACCATGTTGAACTAGCATCGCTGCATAGTATTTCGAAGGGTATGGTTGGAGAGTGTGGCCATCGGGGCGGTTATTTCGAGCTTGTCGGTTTCCACCCGGATGTGTTAGAGAATATTTATAAATTCATCAGTATCATGCTCTGCGCGCCTGTCATAGGCCAGTGTCTACTAGAAATGATGGTCAACCCCCCCGTTGAGGGCGATCCTAGCTACGAGCTGTATCAGAAGGAATATAATAGCATTCGAGATGGTTTGTATGCTCGTGCGCAGGCACTTTATAAAGCTTTCCAGCAGATGGAAGGGGTTGAATGTCAAGAACCTGAGGTCCGTCCCCTCCCCCCAGATATCTTACTTTATTTTAGCTAACCGGTAATTCTTCTTCACTTTCTTCTAGGGTGCCATGTACCTCTTCCCAACCATAAACTTACCACCCAAGGCCATCGAAGCCGCCAAAGCCGTCAACCGCGAGCCAGACGAGTTTTACGCACTCAAACTCCTGGACGCGACGGGTGTCTGTGTGGTGCCTGGATCTGGCTTCGGGCAGAAGGAAGGCTCCCTCCACTTCCGCACGACGTTCTTGGCGCCTGGGACGGCGTGGACGGATCGGATCGTCAAGTTCCATAAGGAGTTTATGGATGAATATCGATGATTGCATATAGCTATTTTTTGATTTATTGATTATTTATATTATTATGTTTTTGGTTTTTAAGACTGTACCTTGCTTGGGGGCTTAGCATTTGATAGAAGGATATCTCTCCTCAATTATTTATCCTATCTATTTAATTCAATCCCCTCACATTCTGCATACAGCTTATTTATTTATTTCCTTTTTTTATTTCCTTGTTTTTTTTTTTTTTTTTTTTTTTTTTTTTTTTTTTTTTTTGTGTGTTGTTCTACACGATATGATGATAGTACCCTATCTCGTAGCTTTTGGATCTTTCTTTCCCCCTCTTGAAATATGTTTATTATTTTTTTATTCATTTATCTTCAAATCATAGAAAATTCTTTTGTTATCTTTTCCATGTCTCTGACGTCCTGTATTATATCATTATTCTTTTTCTATTTTCTTTTTCTTCTCTCTCTCGCCTTTCTAGCTGCTAGTGCGCCATATGGCAAAATTGACGTCCTTCAGGTATATGACTCACGCTTCTAGTCCGGGCCCAATTTCCACCGCACCCCAGGTTTGCCTTGAAGAATATTTTCAAAGGCACGCAACTGAGGAATCGGGGACCTCCGGCCTTCGAAAACCTTTGATGGCTTATGGCTTTTCATTTTTGTCCGCTGAAGCAGTAGCAGGTGTGTATACAGAATCAGCTGCGAATACACTCAAATGCAACAACCTTCGACAAACCTTGACATGATGATAAAAGAGATCTGATTGGTTCAAGGTGTGAGATCGCATGCAAGATACTGCTATATTAACATTCGCGGATATCTGAGCCAATCGTGATTTGATATGGAGTCACCCTCCAGGACTCGCAATGTCGTTCGCCCGCCTGCAGAATAGGGTTTAGCTAAGCTTTTCGCTAGTCAAAGCTTGTCGGGGTATTCCCCACTTTTATTTTGTTACTTTTCATTATTTTTTATAGTTGGTTATTCGTTGACCCGAACCCTCCGCCTGCGGAGAGCGCTTATCATTGAACGATACTTTCGGAACCATTCATCTCCCTTTTTGCACTTACTTATTTTGAGATAGAGTCGGAGTTGAAGGGGGTTTTAAGGTTCATACATTGGACATGTCCTTTTTGATACCTTTCTTCGTCTCTCCCTCTTTCGCTTCCTCCACTTCCTCTGCTTCCTGCACCTACCACACAGTCCCACCTATCCAGGCGGCGCTTCCAGTTGGACCGTTCTTGTTTATCTTCTACTGTTCAAAAGGGATACAGAAAATATACAACAGCTACTGAAAAGATACACTGCGGGCATCTTTTCTTGTCCTGATCACCCCCCTCCAGCACGTACAAGCATCACAGCCAACCTTTAACTATGTCGGGCTATTCCTCTGTCGTAGAAAACACCGCTGCTGTCTCCTCAGCTGAAGATAAATCTCATGGAACTGTCATCCCGACCATCCGAAGTGACCTTGAGCAGGAGACCCCAAAGAGCCGCTGGGAGCGTGTGTGGCCGGTCATAGCCTGTGGCGCAGGTCTTTTTTCTGACGGCTATCTGAATAATGTATGCCAATGATGTGATCCTACCCATTTTCTTCACTGCATTTCACAAAACGCTCCAACCCACGACTGAATACTGGTGGAGCTTGGTATTTCATTTCGCTAACCTATAAAAAAAAAAAAACAACAAATTCAGATCATCGGCTCAGTCAACACCATCCTCCGCACCCTCTACCCAATTGCCTACGTCAACTCCCCCGCCGTCAAAAATGTTCCCTCCATTGCCTTCGCTGGCACCGTCGTAGGTCAGCTCCTGTTTGGCTACGTCAGCGATCACTACTCCCGCAAATGGTCCCTGATGGCGTCTACCGTTATCCTCATCGTGTTCGCAGCGCTCTCTGCCGGCTCCTATGGTGCCAACGGCAGACCATCCGGGCTCTTTACTGCGCTGACTATCTATCGCTTCTTCCTTGGTGTGGGTATTGGTGGTGAGTATCCCGCCGGAAGCGTTGCGGCAGCCGAGAGCACAGGTGGACTGAGGGAGGGCCATCGGAACAGGTGGTTTGTGCTGTTTACTAATGTGCAGATTGATCTTGGGTTCGTTCTTGCAGCGTTTGTGCCCATGGTTGTCGTGTTGATTTTTACGGAGAGCCATCTGAGAGCGGCCTGGAGGGTGATGTTGGGGATTGGGGTTATTCCACCTCTGAGTTTGCTGTATTTGCGTCTGAAGTTTCAGGAGCCTGAGGAGTTCAATCGGGAGAGGATGCATAAGTATCCGGTTTGGCTCATTGTTAAGTATGTCTCTTCTCCTTACCTCTTCTGTTTTTGTTTGTATCCCAGTTTTGCTAACCCAAGAGATTTACAGATTTTACTGGATGCGGCTGGTAAGGATTGAATATCTATCTATATACTTGGAACAAAGAGCGTGATATTAACCACAGATACAAAAATTAGTCCATCGTTTCTCTAATATGGTTCATCTATGACTTCTCCATCTACGCCTTCGGCATCTACTCAGCTGCCTGGCTCAAGATTGTTCTCTCCGATTCCGCGCCTCTCTGGCAGTCCTTCGGCTGGAACACCGTTCTCAACCTCTTCTACATTCCCGGTGCGTTTCTCGGCGCGTTCGTCTCCGACTGGGTCGGGCCCCGTAATACACTTGCCCTCGGCGTCTTTCTGCAGGGTGTCGTCGGCTTCATCATGGCCGGCTGCTACCAATATCTCGCGACAGCGAAAAACGTCGGGGCCTTTGTAGTTGTTTATGGGTATGTTATTTTATATTTCTCTCATCATTCCCTTTTTCACGATTTATGACAAACGTTGTATAACAATGCAAAAATAACAGCATCTTCCTCTCCCTCGGCGAGCTCGGACCGGGAGATAACATCGGTCTCATCGCCTCTAAAACCAGCGCCACGGCCGTGCGCGGCCAATACTACGGCATCGCGGCCGCGATAGGCAAAGTCGGCGCCTTCGTGGGCACGTACGTGTTCCCGATTATCCAGGCCCGGGCGCCGAATCCCGTGCGCGCGGGCCAGGACCCGTTCTTCGTCGCGAGCTCGATGTGTGTGGTGTCTGCGTTTATAGCGCTGTTCTTGCTCCCGAATATTGGGCAGGTGGGTATTTCATGTATTTTTGCTTTAGTGTCTGTTGGCATTGTGTGATTAACTGGTTTTAATGTTGGAATACGCGTAGGATACGATCACGATTGAAGACGTGCGCTTCCGTCAATACCTGGAAAAGCATGGTTATGATACGAGCACGATGGGAAGTAAGTCGAAGCAGGAGCAGCAGCAGTTGGAACAGATGCAGACGATTCAGTCGAATGGCCAATCTGGTTGCTAGTGCCACTACTCACTTTGTTTAAGCTTTGGTTTAAGTATATATATTTTCTGCTTCTGTTCCTTACATGTAAACCAAAACGGATTAACCGTGCCATGCTTACTCACTTCTCTGTAGTGAGTGCGCCACAGTGTACAGAAAACCACACTGTACAGAAAATATTTTCAATATCTTCATTCTTCATCTTCAAATAATCATTATTAATTATAATCATGTCTAAATCTTCCAATTATACTGAGAAGCAGTTGCAAAGAGCTGTTGATATATATAAAAGCAATTCAAAATTCAAAATCACATCTCTGTTATAAGTAGACTGACCGTGTGACCGTGTCTGAGACCAGGACCAGATTTTTTGATAGTCTCATTACCAATTCGACTGATCCCATTACACAGTTTTAACATTAGATAGTAGTCCCATACTGTCTCAGTGAGACTTACTGTCTACTCTTGTCACATTTTCCAAATGAGATCATGATTTCCACTTCTCAATTTAAATTATTTTTATTGCTTTAAATGACTTTAAATCTTATTTAAGCATTACTAAAAAGCATTACTTTTTAAAAAATTAAAAATAGTCTAAAAAAAATCTTAAAATGTCTAAAAATAGTAACTTTATGCCAAGAATGAGACTAAATGAGATCAAATGAGATCACTTTCTCATTTTTTTCAAGTCATGATTTCATTTTAAGATCTGATATATAGTCACTTTACATGTTTTTTTGATAGCCAGTCTCAGTGGGATTCACGCCAAGAAATGTATGAGATTAGACTAAATGAGACTAAATGTGAAATTCATGGTCTCAGCAGTCAGTCTAGTTATAAGAATTCAAAGTCTTATATATCACCTTGTATAAGAGAATCAATGAGAAGAAATCAAGAACTATAAGAGTTTCACTGAATTGAGCATTGAATGACAGCTAGAAAGAGATAATTAAGATATGAATTCATCAGTTAAATATTAATTTTTATCTATTCATTATTGAGTATATTGAAGCTGCTGTGAACTGTATATTAAGACAGTATTAATATTATACAGATTCAGAGACTGCATCTTTTACAGTAAGTAAGATATAAATATATTAATTCATTAAACATCTGTCAGATTACAAATAAATTAAGCAAAAATTCATGAATTTAAAATAAGTGTCTTATAAGAATATAAGCTTCATTATTAACTGATTTAATTGATATAAATGTAAGGGGCCTACGCCGAATAGATCGGCATTAAGATATAGGTCTTATATAACAAAAGATAAAAATGTTAGAGAAGAAAAGAAAGAGAAAGTGTGAGAATCAGTGATTGAGATGAATATTTATATATGTATGTAATGGCATATGCAGTGGAACTTCAGGGCGGAAGAATATACGCATGTTCATAGCAGTTGAGAAATGATGATCAGAACATACATGTTTATAACAGCTAAGAATTGACAATCAGAAATGGCTGAGAATTGAAGTGTATATATTTAAGAGTGAAATAGAAGAATCTATGAAGTGTAACAGAATAGTCTATATAATTGATCAGGTGTAGTCTGTCATATTAGTTCCTCTCTTTCAGAAGCAGTTCTTATCAGTCAAGAGCTGCTGTTTTGAATAATGCAGAACTCAGAGTTCAGATTGATTAATTATAGCTGACTCATTTCATAAGATATTATTAGCTGTGACTGCAGAGTCTCTTATCAAGAATATTCTCAATCTCTCACTCAAGCTCATTATCTTCTTCTATGATGTCTGATGACTGTCAGTCAGAAGTCAGCTGAGAAGAGAATGAATCAGTGACAGTATAATGAAACAAGCTTGTATGAAATACATTATAAATTTCTGATAATATATCAAGATAATAGTTATAACTATCTAGAACTTCTATCACTTTATATCTGATATAGCAGTAATCTAGCATACAAGATGAACATGTGATTTATATATTCTTAAGATTCAATTATATAAGATCTTCTATCTTATACTGCTCTGCAGAATCTCATCAGATGTTAATTTAATCTTCTTAATCTTGTTTCACAGTTATCATAAAGATCTCTGCTCAGTCACAGATATCTCAGAGCTTTGTTACTATATTATCAGTGATTTGAATCAGACTGCAGAGATTCAGTGTGAACTGTATAATCTCTAAAAGATTTAACACTTTCATATGATATTTATATGTAAGAAAGAACAGGCTTATATCTGTTAAAATAGTATCTTAATCATTGATAGCAATCTCTATATGTAGAAGAAGATCATATCAATTATCTTATAAGTGATTATAGAACTTATAAAGATAATTCTTTACAGTCTGAATTATCTATTCTGATATATTATCAGTCTCAGAGTAATAGACAGTTGACAGATAGTATATAATCTTGAGAACTTGACAGATTCTTGTTCAGAGAGTGCTCATGAATTAATAACTCTGATTTGATACTATGAATCTCAGTAATTCATATATTTAATAGAATAAGCTCTATAGAAAAGCTTCAGTGACTTGTTCAGTATTTATCTTATTATAAGATTTCAATATTATATCTTTATTTAATTAATTCACAATGATTAGAATGTTTCTACAATTCTTACTCTTAAATAGATTGACAGTGAAGTCAATTACTATATCTTATCAGATTCTATCAGAGATATTAAGTGATTTTAATAGATCTTTTCTACAGTTCTTTTATAAGATAATAGAAGAACAGTGATTGTAGTTTTGAATAAAGTATCTGATACTGTTTAATATTTCAGATCAGTAGAACTCTCAGAAGATCATTCTATACAGTTATTCACAGCTTGAATAACTGATTATATATGAATCATGTATCTCTTGTATTATTCAAGTGTGTAAGAGTTTGAAGTGAGAGACTCAGTGTCATTTATAAAATTATAGAGTGTTATTATTATTGATTGAACATTCTGAGATATCAGTTCTTATACATAGTTCTGAGAAGAATCAGAGTGCTTCTTGACATACTGCTTTAGTGAGAGTCTGAAGAAGTTCATTCATCTGAGCTGCTGTATATCACAGTTCATTCAGTGTAGAGAAAGTGAAGATATCAATAACAGTTCTAACTGAAGAAGTATGTATAGTGTCATGAACTGTTTCATCTTAATCAGTATCATGAGTTATTCTATCTTAATTAACTAGTATCTTCGGGTTCAAGAGCTGATGCTCTTGATTCATTCAGTGAGTATCTGTTTCATTGAATGATATATCTTACTCTCATTGTGAGAGAGCATCTGTCATTGAGTTCTGACTATTAGAATGATAGTGTATTATAAAATGAAAGTAGCTTAAAAACTCAGATTATTGCATCTGTTGTTCAGTGAGTTTATAGATAGTTATAAAGTATTTGAGATTCTTATAATCTGTGATTATCTTAAATTTAAAGATACTTTAGAGTTCAGAGTTTCATTCTTCTAAACAGTGTATAATTATAAAAAGTTTCTTATCATAGATCTTATAATTGCATTCAACAGAACTCAGTTTCTTAGATATGAAGATTGTGGCGGGCTGCGCCCGATCAATCATATAGACTATTTCATTACACTTCATAGATTCTTCCATTCCCGATCGCCGATCCGCGGCCGCTACGAACGCGCGCATATTCTTCCGCCCCGAAGCTCCACCGCGTACGCCACCACATACATGTATAAATATTCACCTCAATTGCTGATTCTTGCACTTTCTCTTTCTTTCCTTCTTTAACATTTTTATCTTTGTTATATAAGATCTATTAATATTATACTGATCTATTCAGCATAGACCTCTTACACTATAAAAATGTTCATCATCTTCTTATTAGAAAATGATTATTCATGTATTATCTTCTCATCAGAAACATTATTTATTAAGAGATATTCAAACATGTAATGACATGTAAGAAATAGAGAAACAGTTAAATAGTTAAGTGAATATCAAGTTCTCAGATAGAAGCTTACTCATCAGTCACTCTGACTCTGTAATAAGATTTTACAAAGAGAATATCAGTGAAAGATCTGAGAGTTCTGACACTTAGATGTATGAGATATTCATATGATTACACTTCTTCAGATTTCACAGATATCACATATCTGATAAATGATATAATCATGTCTAATAATAATATAAGAGAACCTCTGAATATAAGCATAGACACAGTGTCACAGTGACTCTGAGTAATGTTGAAACTACAATAACAATAAATAGCTGATATACATGCAACTCAATAACTTCAATATGAAGAGATTCAATAATTAACTCATGTAATTTCAATATCTACAGAATTGAATACAAAAGCACTGAAAGAACACTTAGATGTCTCTGTATATTTCAATACTTCTAATCTCACTCTCTACTCATTATAAAGAATGGAAATGCTCATGAAACTGAGTGTAGATGAAGATTTCATCAGTTTATTAATCAATCAAGATTGATATATCAATGAATGATTGAAGAACTGTGTGAAACAGAAGTTTCATTCATGAATGAAAGTATATGAATCAGTGTTCAGAACATCTGATAATATTATGAAATATCTTGATATTCTGTTCTGAGACACTGTCATGCAACAGAAAGCATTAGATTGATTACAGAGTATCTGACAGAGAAACACTTCTCTTACAACATTCATCTCTGACTTCAATATCAAGATTCTAGAAGTAGGTAATCAATCTTGAGAGAATTGAATGAAGATTAGCATGCTTAAGAAGACATTAACTTTCAAACTCTTACAGACTCTTGTAAGTGCAGATGAAGACCAGACTTATTAAGACTTCTGCACACAGCTCTGAACAATGAATGACTGTCTTATCAAGCTCAAGAATATACAGAAAGTAGCAGAAGATATTACATCTCAGTGACTCATATACTCACACTGAGAAATAACAATGATGCAGATGCTATGAATTGAGTAGACTTGAATATCTATATATAAGCAAGAGTCTTCATCATCTGAACAGGCTTCTGAGTCCCTGAGATCACTTTCAAAGAAGTTGCTAATTGATATCAATATGAAGTGTGCATTAACTGTAACTGATCAAAATACATTGCTTTCAACTGCTGATTAATCTATGTATCTTCATACTTGAGAGAAAGATCAGTGTCTTCTTGTTTAAAGAATGAATCAGTGCCTGTTCACATCAATCATGTTACATTAGAGAAAGATTCAGAAGATAACTATAAGAATGTCTCAGTGAAACAGAGAAAAGATTAACTTCTATTTAAATTTATAAACAGAAGCTTGAAGAGGTCAGATAACAACAATTTGAAGAGAAGATGATAATGAATGTGATTCTTGTATCTACTGTGATTGATAACATGTATAATATGAAAGCT